TGAAGGATTGCACTGCTCACCTTCCCCTTCATTCATTCACAAAGCCCCTTGTACTATTTTCACAGAATGCAAAGTGTATTGATCAAAGGGAAGAGAGGGGAATAAATGACAGGCCCCCCTCCTCCATTCACAAAACACGTATTTTATGAAAAAGAAAATTAGGAGTCTTGTGAACGGTGAATGTACAGATGGAGCAGAAGTAGAGAGCGAGCGGTGCGATCCTTCACTTTTAGAGCCAAAGTAATTAACCCATGCAGCTCCAAAAGAAGATTATCTGGCATCAATGAAAAGATCATTTTTCCGGTAACCAGCAGCCATACACTTCATTAGAGGTAAGTTATAACCCTCGTGCTGTACAGTATACCCAAAAACATCAGCTTTAAAAAAAATGCAGGGAAAAAAACAAACATGTATTTTAACCTTTTTCTGCCATCGCCTCCTGGACTTTAACAGGTTCTAAGTGCCGGGAGGTGGAGGTGGGCATTCGGATGATGTGACGACTGTGATTGGCAGTCACATGATCGGAAAGCTCCCAATCGCAAGTATGCATTGGGAACTTTCAGGTACATGCTGGTAACTGAGCACGTATGCAGCCGCTCAACATTAAAGCCCACCCACCAAAAGGCCACATATATATACACAGACGACACTCTGGCGGACACATTTTATGTTACGGGGCACTCTGATGGGCACATTTTATGTTAAGGGACACTCTGATGGGCACATTTTATGTTAAGGGGCACTCTGATGGGCACATTTTATGTTAAGGGACACTCTGATGGGCACATTTTATGTTAAGGGGCACTCTGATGGGCACATTTTATGTCAAAGAGCACTCTGACGGGCACATTTTATGTTAAGGGGCACTCTGACGGGCACATTTTATGTTAAGGGGGCACAAATGGGCACATACTGTGGAAAGGGGCACTCTTACGGGGAATATGATGTAAAAGGACACTCTGATGGGGAAATATGGTGGAAAGGGGTACTTTGAGTGTAAGGGGGCACTCTGACGGGAATACCTGATGTAAGGTGGCACTGTGATGGGGATACAGGATATAAAGGAGCGCTCTGATGGCGACACCTAATGTACGGGAGCACACTGATGGGCACACCCTATTCGGACTTCAGCCAGAAGAAAATTTTAGTGACCGGACCTCCTTGAATTTTAATTCAATACCTCTGCCCTAGACTCTCCTGTTCTGGAAGTATCTTTGTATTTTTCTGAGGGCTCATTCATCCATACTGCAGTGACCTGCATGTTTGCACTGGATGAACACAGGTCACCTCTAGGACACATAGAAAACAATTGTTTTCTATGTGTTCTGTGCACACCATGCTGCTGGTGTCCTGTGTGTTGTGTTAAAATGCTACATGTCTGCATTTAAACACTTGTCAACACACACACATGTAATGCTGGGAAAGAAAAAAAATGCTTTTCATTATTTTTTAGCCATCTTTGGGGATAAGTAGTGGTTGTGCAGTGGAGAGTGCTGTTAGATGTCTGCATCCCCTGCCACATGCTTTGCCTCCTTCTGCCAGTTGCTATGTCAGTACTGGATAAAGTGGTGATGTGAAACTGACAGGAGGCACCACAGAACTGGAAACTTGACATTCGAAATATCCACTAGTGCACTGTCTTCAAGAGCTAGCTGTGGCCCCTGAAAGAATATTTCGTGCCCAACACCTCTGGATGTGTCACATTTCTGGCTTCCATCTGTGCTTTGTGGTCTCTTTTTTCAACCCCTATATCACTACTGTGTCCTGTAGGGGTTGGTGGATGGTACCACATTGCATGACAGGGGATGCAGGCATCTGACACATCTGGGCCTGATGGATGCTGAACATTCCCCTAGAGATAGAGGATCTTAAAGACAGTGGAGCCAGAACTCACCACCCACTGCACTGCAGAGTCATGATAGAATGAACCTGTACAGGGTAAAGCAGCAGTTTCACTTGAATCCTGCTCCTGCAGCATGCATTCACTTTTTCACTCTCATTCCACATGTTCCATGTTTCTACACAAACAGAAACTTTGGACACTGGAATGTAAAGATTTACTCTACTATAGGCTGTGCACAACAAATGACACCATGAAACTACATGATCAATACACATCTTATTCAGGTGAAAACACAAGGTGCAGGCAGGAATGCCTACAGTGCATTCAGATCGCTTTTCAGAGGAAATTGACAGGTGATGCACCACCTGTTTTAACCCAATTTTTTCCAACAAATGCATTGCATGTAAACAGACCCATCTGCTGCCATTTGCAGCTTAATGATGGCAGTTGTGGCTCAACCGTGCATTTTTACTGCCCCCCAACCACACATCTAAACTTAGCCTAAAAGTGGTTGTAAACCTCAGACATGAATTATGAACAAAACATATCCCTCTATAGCGTGTACATGTCTAAATGAAGTGTAATTTCTGTCTGCTGCTTCCAGGGGCGTATTTACCACAAGGCAAACCAAGCATTTGCCTTGGGCGGCATTTTTCAGGAGGGCAGCGCTGCCCCCTAGAAGAAGGAATACACGCCGCATGGGGACCGGGTGGGAGCCAAGAGAGCCTGCGGGCTGCTTGATATATGCAGAGCCCGACTCCTATTCCCGGGGATGTCCAGAGCTGTGAAGGTGAGTGTCTATAAACAGAAAATTGATGTTGCGCTAATCGCAATAATGCCACAGACATTCCAAAACAAATAATGAGATGAGAAGACAATAGATAATACACCATAACATAATCAGTAAATGGAAGGAATACAGGAGTGAAGTAAAAGGTGAAATAATAAAGGTCCAAAATGAGGACCAAAAGGTGTAACAGACAATAAATCGTGACCGTGGGCAAAACACACGGAAATGATCAGGGAGAAATAAAATATTAATATAAGTTTCTTTCTCTCTCTTGCCAGGGATGGGGGGGGGGTGGCGGCGGGTGTATGAGGGAGGTGGTGGTAGTGGAAGGCTCTCTTGGCCAGGGTGGGGGGGGGGGGGGGTGTTGGTTGGTGTCAGGCTCTCTCTTTTGGGGGGGGTGGGTTGCTGGTTTGTGCTATGCTCCCTCCGCGGTTGGGGGGGGGGGGTTTGGTCAGTGTCAGGCTCCCTCCTTTGGGGGGGTGGGTTGCTGGTTGGTGTTATGCTCTCTCCGAGGTTGGGGGGGGTGTTGGTGCCCAGCTCTCTCCTTTGGGGGGGGGGGATTTCTGGTTGGTGTTATGCTCTCTCCACAGTTGGGGGGGAGGGATGTTGGTCAGTGTTAGGCTCTCTCCTTTGGGGGGTTGTTGGTCGGTGTTATTCTCTCTCCACAGTGGGGTGGGGGTGGGGGGGTGGTTGGTGTCAGGCTCTCTCCGTGGGGAAGGTTGGGGTGGCATATTTTTGCTTTGCTAGGGCAGCACAAAACCTAGATACACCACTGGCTGCTTCGTTTTTTTGCTATCAGCATTTATCACTTCTGACAGATTTTCCTCACACCAAGAGAAAATGGTGACGGGGAGGGACCTCCCCAGATTGACAGTCTTGGCTCTGTTCCTGTGAGCTGTGTGGAGGGAGGCGTGTCCCTTCCCTCCAATCAGCTCTCATCAAGTCTCCTCACTGAGCTCTGCAGAATGTGTAATTTCAGCTCTCCACCCCTTTTTTCTGAACTCTCAGACAAGCTTTATAAATTCAGCACTTTGGACAGATATAGAGAATATTAGACTGCAGATAAACAGGTACAACTTATGTTGGAGGATTTTTTTTTAATTTCTGAGACCATTCACTTCACTGGATATTTGTAAGGGTTTACAACCACTTTAAACAAGACCACAGACAAAATATTACACTTCAAAGGGGTTTGTGACGGGAGTAACTTTGGGTGGGGGGCCCATGGAACACAGCTCACTTTGGAGGGGTGGAAAGACCCCTGTCTCAGCTCCCCATATCCCTCTTATGTGTAAGTCATCCTATGCCTGTTAGGGGTACAGGGTGAAATATACTAATATTGGGGTGGGGGTTGTTCATTGTTTAATGCCATGTGGTTGCATCCCATTGTTCTATTGTGTGTCTTACTTGGGATCAAACTATTATGGGATGTATGTGTTTGTGTATTGGCTTGATGGGGGGGTGACTTCTGCTGATGTGTCTCTTGTTGCTAGATGTGGTTTGCCCCTCCCTGTGTCATTATGCAGGGAGGGGGGAATTGTTCCCTTGAATGTTTATATCTTGTATCTGTGTTAAAATAAAGGAGTCTTATTTCCTAGTTTTCCTTCAAGAGTGGTGTCCGTGGACGGTGTTTGGACAGGGAAGCGGTATTCTAACGGAAATACCCAAGTGCAGTCGGGGTCTGGTTCCGTTACAGTGTTCTAAGCTTTTATCACTCTAAAAAAAAAAAAAAAAAGTTAAAACATTATGGCTAGGCATAGGCTAGGCACTTTAAATCTGTAGGACCTGAATGTAAAGCTTTACCCAGCTATGGTCATTAGCAAAGTGTCTTACTTTGGTGCTTGCACTCTCCATGGATTTATCCATTTTACATGAAGTAAACTCTTTGTTTATGCTTATAATTGCTTTGACGGGGCAGCAGAGGTGGGAGCTCAGGTACGGGTCCAATGGGGAGTCAACTAATTAGTATAGAGCACAATCTGAAATCTTGGTTTTGGGAGGACATAGCCTTTCAGCTGATGAGGACACATTTTCCTTTGAAATAAAAGCATAAACATATTATAAATTCTCTTTATATAATGACATAGCTTCTATAATGAACCGCTTCTAGAGCTCTATACAGGATATTCCATGTCAATATGTTAATTATCTTACATGGTCTGATTAATGTGATTCCAGCGGGCGCTTGAATATTGTTCTGGCTTGATGTTGATGTATGAAGTGTTTGATATGACTCCCTGAAACTCCATAATACCGCTGGGAAGGAAATAATGACACACTGTTCACAAACTCCCATCGGTGGATAACAGCGATGCCCTTATATCAAAGCGGAGTCACAGATCCTTTGTATCATCTACTCTTTGGCAGGAATTAAAGAAAGTGAAGATCGGCAGAAGATCAATAGCAGTTCAGTATTACCAGAGATCCGGGGTCAGCAGGAGAGCATGGTAAACCATTAGATCAGGGGACTGTGGGGTTAAAACTCGGAGTTCTGTGTACTTATGCTTGTTACTCTTTGCTTCATTAGGGCATTTATCCAAATGCATCTGTCTCTGGGAGTCAGATGAGCCAGCCGACTGGAGTTGTCCCCCTGTACAATCCTTCACAGGTAATTCCTTTTTCATTTTTTTTGGATGGTGCACTATGGTACATATGGGCTTGTTCAAGTCACTTTGTTGGTAAAGGTGCATTATAGCACTCTTTTGAATGTTTTGTTTAACAAGAATCCTCACTCTGTAAGGAAAAAATTCAAAGTCAGCAGCTACAAATGCTGTAGCTGCTGCCTTTAAAAAACACACAACTACAGTACCTGTCCCAGGATCCAGTGATGTCCTCACCGAGCTCGGCTCTTTGCTCTGTCTTTGGGTCCGGGTATCGACATCTTAACTGTGGGCAGCTAACTTTGACTCCTTGCAGCTTCACAGCTGGCTGCCCACTATGCATGCACGAGCTGCGCTGCACCCCGTGATTGTTCCATAGTCTCTTGGGACCTCTGACGTGTCACAAGAGGCTGCGTGGCAAAGAGGGGAGGCCAAACTTCCACTCTGATCACCTAAGCAGAAGTGGGAATGGGTACCTGTCAAAATCAGTATTTTATCACAGTCACATGACAGTTTATGTTTTTGGGGTTGTATTTGAGATGTGCAAAGAGAGATCACACAAATGCTTGTAAATATAACATCTAATTAAGTAATTACAGATAACAAATGTAATAATATTGTAAAATATAACAATAATACTTAACTATAGATGCCTTTTTCGCCACTGGTCCCTCCAACTTATTTGGCGTGGCACAGATGATCAGAATAGGATGCATGCATGATAAGCTCTGAGGCGAGACAATTATTCCAAGGTTTAGCTGTAATATATACAAGATGAGTTGGTAGGGATGGCCAACCCCCCATTGCAAACAAATGACCTTTTAAGGACTTGTAATGACATTGCTTTGGCATGAAGTCAGCTAAGGTCACCAGGATGTTGTAGGCTTTTTTAGATATTGTGAGAACATTTTAATAAGGAAATATGAAATATGCAATTCCCCCAGCAATCAGATACCTGCTGCCTTCTTTCCAAAAAAATATTCCAGATATGGGAGAGGAGGGGGGAGAGGAGGAAAAGCGGAACCTGCCATTTTGGGTGAAGTTCCGCTTTAAAGAAAACACGTAACATGGCCAATTCAGGTAAAAGTGACAGGTTTTCTTGATACAGCACCAACCCCACTATCCTATATTTACCTTCCCTGTGCTGCCCAGCCCCGATGCTCTGCTTGTTTGTTGGATCCCTCAGAGATAACTGATACCTCCAGGTATAGGAGATCATCTGAGCTTCCATTTCATTCTCAGGATGCAATAGTCAGACCTGAGCAAATCGCCAGAAGCACACACCGCCATGTAGGGGTAGGGGCTTAGGTCATTAACCCTGTGCATGTTCCAGCATGGTAAGTATCAGTTGGATGGGGTAACAAAGCTGATGTTTAGTGATGTATTATTTTTTTTTTAACCACTTCAGCTCCAGAAGATTTTACCCCTTTCATGACCAGGTCATTTTTTGCTATTCGGCACTGAGCTACTTTAACTAGCAAGTGTGTGCTCATGCAACGATATATGCTAATTAAATTTATCTAATTTTTTTCACACAAATGGAGCTTTCTTTTGGTGGTGTTTGATCACCGCTGGGGTTTTTATTTTTTATTATATAAATGGAAACAAGACTGTTATGTTTAAAAAAAAAAACAATACTTTTTATTTTCTGTTATAAAACATATCCAATAAAAAAATAAGAAAATATAATTTCTTCATAAATTTAGGTAAAAATGTATTCTGCTACTTGTCCTTGGTAAAAATAAATCCCAATCAGTGTAACTGTATATTTCGTCTGTAGGAAAGTTAGTGTCCATAAACTATGGTATATATATCTGAAATTTGATCATTCCTGATGTACTGACGGCCTATCTAATTTTTTTGAGGCCCTTAAAACGTTAGGACAGTACAAAATATTCCCCAAATTTTTCCCCTTTTCGGAAAGTCTGAGTTTTTTTTAACATTTTTTTGGATTAATTTTTAAAAAATACTTTCATCAGAGTAGTTCAGTGCTATCATTGTACTAATCTGGGGGGTGATCGTGTTTTTTATTACACTTTGATTGCTGGTATGAAGATCATTGTACCAGGGATGCTTTGAACTGTTATAAATGGATTACGTTCATGACAGTTCTGAATACTAGTGATCTGTTATTGGCTACAGCTAATCACATGGTGCAGGGTGCTGTGATTGAACCATTTCATAACAGGTTTGTTGACATTGCGATCGTGTGATCACATAGAGATTACATATTATTCACCAGGTCCCAAGTCCCGGGATCCACATTCCGCTGTGTCTGGTGGACATGCACCCTAGTGTCAGTACAGGCAAAATGACGTACGGGTACATTGCTTTGCCTGTACAAAGTATTGCAAATGCTGCTCTGCTCCTTTAAATATTCAGTTCTCTAGCCCCTGGATACTTCCATGGCTGTGATCTTCCAATGCTGCAGCAGGAAGTACAAGCCGCTTCACTGTCACAGTCACTCATCAAAAGTAAGGACCAGGGGCGGACTGACCATTTGGACACTCGGGCACTGCCCAAGGGCCCAGGGTCAGTAGGGGGCCCAATGAGATGCCCCTGGTACCTTTAATTGGCTTTTTCATAGGCTTTTTTTGGCTGTGGGTAAGGACACAGGGGCCCCATGATCCCCTATTGCCCGGGGGCCCCATGAGTTGTCAGTCCACCCCTGGTAATGACTATGCCCAACCTTTCTTCCCCCCCTCTCCATTTATAGAAGCTGGAATATCAGTTCTCACAATAAAAAGTGCTCTATGATTGGAGGAGGTGGCCCTTTTATTCATCTACCTATCTTCCATTTGTAGTGCTCTTTATTTTGTGAACTGATAGTAGAGCTTCTATGAATAGAATAGGGGCGGAAAGGGTGGGCATAGTCGGTACGTTTTTGAGTGACTGTATCATAGGAGCCACTTGTATTAACTGCCGCAGAACTGGAAGATCACAATCTCGGGGTATTGGGGGGGAGCAGAGTAATGAAGATTTCAAAGAACAGAGCAGCCACCAGCACATAGGACACTTGTCGTTCATTTATGTAATGTGCTGATTAAAAGAAAAATACGATCTAAACTTCAGCTTTAATGAATATAATCAAAATCATAACCTGCCAGTGTACCATACACATATCAGTATGATTGTGTCAATAAGTGCTATCTTAAAAAAAATCATCTGCATTGAATACGTATTTCAATAAATAGGCAGTCAATTTCATCAAAACAGTCATTAAAACAATCAAATCTATGCATGATATTAAAGTGTTACTAAACCCAGAACCCTGCATTCACTATATCTGGTCTCCCAAAGTACACAGAACATGGAAATGCAGTTATTTTAGTAAATATAAACTGCTAAATACCTTTTCTCATCAGTAGTTAGAGCAGTCTTGTGACTTCTATCAGTATCCAGCAGAGCACTGGTTAAAGCTTATAGGAAAAGTTTTCACTCTTCTCTCACTGTCCTATGAGGCTGCAGGACTCTTGACTCTCTGTCTGGACAGTGGTGATTGGCCCTGTGCTGATCACATGCACTCTCCCAAGAAAAAGAAAAAACTTTAATACACACCAAACTGAGCATGTGCAGCCAAGGCTTTGTACTATCAGCAAATGGATTGGGGACAGTAGAAAGGGGGAGAATCAGAGAAGACAGTATCAAACATCCTTTTCTCATCATGCAGAGGATTAACCCCTTACGTTCCACAGTGAATATAACTAGCATGAATTACTGCATATACAGATTGATTTTTTACTGTTGTGGGTATAGTAACACTTTAATCATTTATCATTGTGAACATGGGCATAGCTACAGGAGTCGCAGGGGTCACAGTGGCAACCCCGCCCATGCTCCAGGGGGCCCGTGCCACTTACCTATCACACCTTGAGTACAGCAAAGCATTAGCCTTCCTTACTGCTCCTCTCATTGTTCTCTCTAACATGCACACTGTGAGTGCAAGAGAAATGACAGCCACTTCGGTAGTTCACTAGGTTAGGCTGTGATTGTAATAGTATGTAACCTATCAGAAGCTCTGGAACTGCAACCGATGAGGACATTTTGATACTGTCATGTGACAGTGCTAGACTTTTCCTAATTGGATGCAGTTTCATGGAGTACACATGCCGGACTGCAATACCAGCTGCTTTATAAGGTATGTGAAGAGACCCACTGTTGATGTGAAGGGAAATTCCAGCATAAAGGGGGACTCTTGATGTTAAAAAGGGAGGCATTGATGTAAAGGGGGGACTACAGTCCGCAATTTTACTTGTTGGCGATAAAACCTGGAAGCTGATTGGTTTCTATGCAAAGCTGCACCTAATTTTTCACTTTCCAGCTTTTAGGTGAGCAGACTGTGTAATGCTGAATAATTCCCGGCAGACGGCAGGATCGGAATTAATGGGGATGAATGGGCAGGGGCCTGTCCAGGCCCATCCTAGGCACTTTGAATTTCCAATTTCACCTACACAGGGTGACGGCACAAGCAGCTGGTAGAGGGGCCCACAAGCTTCTAGCTACGCCTCTGATTATGAACTGTTAGTAAAATACAGCAAAGTGGAGCCATTCAGAGAAAATATTTTTCAGAGACATCTAAAAACTTAAATTCAAAATTGTTGCTTGTGGAGTCAACTTTAAACAACAAATGAGCAGTAAATCATAATGACAAACAGCAAGTACTGTACTGTGGTATTTTATTTTTACAAAATGTAGTTAATGGCAGAGTTACACTTTAAGGGTCCATGTCCATGGGCTCAGATGGGCAATTGCAGCGTACCTTTGACATCAGTTTAGATACTTGAGATAATTCAGAATTCAATAACAGGTACTCTACATTTGACCTACACTGGACCTGCTTCAGGCTTTGTTCACACTAATGCAATGTCTGGTGTAACTTGAGTTGCACAGAATCGCATGACAATAGCAATCACATTATTATCAAAAGTGCCCATTCATATGAATGCGATTTAACATGGTGCAATTTTGGTAAAGGTTCCTGTGCTACTTTGTTGCAACCTGACCCATA